TGAGCCAAAACCAGATCTGACTGTATGTGAGCATTTAGACTATAATAATGGTGTGGACAGGTAATGAATTAATGGGTTTCTTCTTTTTAAAGTTAGAACTCTTTCTCATAGCAGTTAGTAAAATATATCACACACACAATTGACATTGACACCAAAGTCAAAAAACTACAAAAGCCAAAATAGGTAAATTTCATTAAAAAAGAAACTTCCTACTTTTAAGAAAATCATCAAGAAAGTGAAAAGACAACTCACAGTGGGAGAAAATAATTGCAAATTATGTATTTGATAAGAGACTTGTATCTGAAATATATTAAGAAATCTCTTACATTTAACAGGTAAAAAGACAATGCAATTTAAAAATGAGCCAAGTGTTTAAATAGACATTTTCCATATACTTGTCATTCATCAGTAAGCTCATGAAAAGATATGCAACATCAATAGTCACTACAGTAGTGCAAATCGAAACTACAATACCACTTCACATTCACTGGGTTGCTATAATGAAAAAGTAAACAATAATAATTGGCAAGGATGTGGAAAAGTTTGGCAGTTCCTCAAAAAGTTAAACAGAGAGTTCTCATGTGACTCATCCATTCTAAACCTATGTATATACTGAAGCAAAATGAAAATGCATTTACAAACACCTGTATATGAAACTCCACAGCAGTGTTATTACTTCCCATTTGGGCTGGAAACAGCCCAAATGTCCATCAACTGGTGAATAACGAAATGTAATATAGCTATGCATTATTCAGCCATAAAAAGCAATGAGCTATTGATAGATACTTCAACTTGGATGAACCTTGAAAACACTTGACTGCCAAGTGAAAGCAGTCAGACACAAAAGGTCATGCATGTACTCCGTGATTCCATTTATTATGAAATACCCAGAAGGGGTAAATCCATAGAGACAGAAAGTAAACAAGTGATTGCCAGGGTTTGGGATGAGAGTGGAATAGGGAATAACTTAATGGAGTTGGAGGGGGAGGTTCTTTATGGGATAATGAAAAAGTTCTGCAATCCAGTGGTCATGGTTATACAACTGTATGTTGTATGAAATTTGACATCAATTATATTAATAAGGTACATGTACCTTCACCTGTATACACACATATGTAATGTATAGCTGGTGAGATAACAAGTGATATTTTGTGTGCTTTTCTGTTTCTCCCTCATCTAGAGGACATGCATTACTTGTGTAAATTGAAAAAGAAGCCCTGTTGAAACCAATTCAAATTCAAAAGCTGAATTTTGCATTTCTTTAATCATCTCCAAGTGGCTATTGCAATGTAGATTATAATGATATGAAATCCTAGAATAAGCAAAACAAAATTGTGTCCGTAAAAAAAAAATCAGGAGGCTGGTTGCCTCTGGAGGAGTGTCACCAGGACTGACTAGGAAAAGGCATGAAGAATTGACATGAAAAATGACAGTAATGGTCTATATGTTGATAGGGATTTCTGTTATGCAGTTACATGCATTTGTCAAATCTCAGGGAATATACAGTTGTGATTTGTGTCTTTCATTGTATATACATTTAACATTAAAAATTATAAAAATTGAATTCAAGTTAGCAGATATGCTGAAATATCTAGGGGAAAGTGTTTTTTGAGATATATTTTTAATATAAGGTGGATTAAAGGATGAATAAATAATGGAGAGACAGATGTGATCAAGTAAATAAAGTAATATCTAGTAAATATACATCAAGTAACTATACATTCAATGGTAGAATGTAGGTGATAGGTATGTAGGTGCTCACTGCTTTATACTTGAAATGTTTCATAATAAATGGGGGTCCAATATAGACCCCTACCCTTCTGACTTCACTACTTTTCTGACCCCAAAACTCCATCTTGCTTGACCCCCAGAACTCCATCTTCCCACTCCCTATTAGGCATTCCCACTTACTTGTGACATTCATCTTCAGCCCCTACCAATCATCCTTGATTTCCTTGTTTTTATTAATGGTAACATAATTTTCTAGGTGTACATTTCCAGGATAAAAATTATTTTTTCTTCCTTTCTCCCCTATTCGCTAATCCAATTAAGGTCTGAATTCTTCTAATTTGCACTTTATCTCACTTCTTTCCCCATTAGCAATACATTAATTCTGCACCAATTACCTGCATCCCAGTGGCCATTTTCATGGAGAAATAAATTGGTATAGCTAAGAAAATAACTTGCATATAATTTGATGTTCTCCATCTTTTTAACGTGCTTGTCTGTGGAACGATTCTGATACTCATTAGGATTTACTTGGTTATCCTTGTCTTAAAACTCTGAAATCACTTCCTTCTCACTTGTGTGTTAATAAGTTGACACCAGTTTTGAATTTAAATGCATATACTCCTACTACAGAAAACAGTTATATATTCTATACTATAATTGACCTCTAGAGTCAATTAATTTATCTTGGAAGATTCACGAAGGAATGAAATTTCTTACCATTAGCTGCCCAGGGGTACTTCATTTTTTTTTTTCCTCCTAGATAGCCATTGGCAACATGAACCTTAAAATTTTCCATTGTTGATAATTGCAGCTAAGAGTGTATTTGGGGGCCTCAATTATCTATGCATCTGTATGTTAGGATGGAGCTAAGTTTTATGAGGAATGGCTCTGTCATAAGCATTTTCCCCAAAGGAATATGCAGTAGTTGTATTTTGAGAGGCTTCATTCTTAAAAGAACATGTCAGTTCTGCTCTTCATTTGGTTGGCAGAGCACTGGGTTCTTTTTGTAGACCCCCAATTCTTTGAACCTATATCAAAAGTTCATGGAAGTTGTTTTTAAAACATACAATGCCGTCCATCAATTCTTTCAAATATTTTAAACTTTATTCTCAGGGAAGCCAGATCATCAGAGAGCTCCATACCTGGTCTCTAGCACATGTTTTCAGTAAATTGCTGTTTGGCTGGATGCCATTACTTTACAGTGAGGTATCTATAAGAAAATGACTTAAATTCATGGTTACATGCATTTACTTATATCAACAAATTATTTAGTGTTATTTTGTCAGGCATCATGCTAGTTATGTTCAGTGCATCATTTAAATTTAAAATTTAATCCACCCAACGATTTCACATGAGAAATATCTCCATTTTACAGATTAGGACACCCAGGTTCATTGGATTTTTTTTTTTTTTTAAAGAGGCATGTATATTTATTTATTTGTTTGTTTGTTTGCTTGTACATGCACTGGGTACAGTCAGAAGCACGGGAGGGTGAGAGAATTCACCAGAGCCAGAGCGGAGAGCAGAGCAGGCAGAAGGACTGAAGGACACTGCTGAGGGGAGCAGCGGGCGGCAGGAGAGGTCTGCGCGCCATGTGGGACCCTCTTCTGGTGGCCGGGGAGCAGCCGGGGATCGAACCGGCGCTGCAGAGGCTGCGGGCAGCTTCGCAACCCAGCGCTCAACCGCTGCGCCACCGGGGAGGCCCAGTTCATCGGATTTTTAACCCTGGTGCTCTACCCCATTTGAAAAGCTGGTCTCACTCATAGCAGGAATTTAGAAAACCTAAATAAGGGACCAGGAAAAAGACTAATTATAATAAAGTAAAAATCAAAATCAACAAGCAACTATAAAACAGAGACACACTAAGTGGGGCAAGAGTGGGGAGGAAGAAGTAGGATCAAAACAAAGGGGGAGGGAATTGTACGGGGACTATAACCAAGATGAAAATGCATACATTGTGCAAAAATGAAAAATGATGTAAAAAATATATATTAAAAAAAAGAAAAGCTACTGGGAACCTTTCCACTATATCACACTGAACAGTCTCAAACATCCCAATGGAGTCCTTGACAAACATTTCTACTTTTAACCTAATTCCTGGTTTTATCCTTTTCCCCTACTGTTATCATTCCTTCCCTTATTTCCTCACCTATTTACTTTTATACCACTGTGGTAATATGCTTTTAATAAACTAACTAAAATCCTTTAGAATTTATATTCCATTGAGGTATAAAGAAATAAAAAAAAAAAAAAAACTACCCCTCTGGAATCCTATAGTAATTACTTTAATGTTGTTTGGGTTTTTCTCACATTATTTGCTTTCATTAAATTTTCAGGTTTGCATTCTAGTTTATACACTGCTTAATTTATGAAGCAAATGAGGAAAGTCTTCTATTTTAAACTGTTCTGTGGTGCTTCTAAACAAAATGACTAAATTTTACCCTAGACTAGCTCAGCCAACACATATTCATCCTTGGTACAGATAATCAGATGTTTGAGGAAAGGGAGATTAGAAGTAGTTAATGAATAAAAGTTCTCAATAAAAACTACTATAAAAATCTAATTTGTGCCCTTGCTTTGAATAGACAGAACATGAAGACATAGTTTGCAGAACCCCTTGGGTCTACTCATTGATCTACCCTGTAATAATGTCACTTTCAATGTCCTTCAGATTCTGTTCTAAATTCTGAAGGTATTTCTTGTCTAATAGAAGGAACAGGTGATTTCCTAATAGGAGTCACCATTCTTCATCATTTTTTAGAAGTGCTTCTTCTGTACCATATAGTCTATTCTAGATGGTCTAAAATCAAAAGGTACATCCTGCCTCCTTGGTTCCAGGTAATTCTCTTGGTAGCGCTGTGTGGACCAACACAGAACACTGGTTTTTCTACCTGCTCCCTTGGCTCTCTGTGGTGTCAGGGTGCAAAAGCAATGCTTTCGTTGTTAAATCTAATCTTGTTTGGTTTCACTGCGTCATATTAAAGAAGTCCTACGTAACCCCTTTGCCTTGCAGAAGCGTACTGCTCTAGCAGTTCACTGATCACAATTGCAGGGTTTAACTTGCTGAGAGATAAAAACTATTTCCTAAATTCCCAAAGTGATTTGGCAAAATTAGACCTACAAGACTTAGGGGAAAGAAAGAAAAACAAGTTAGGTATTATTTTATGTTACCTGGGTATTATTATGTGCGAACAGTAAATTTTTCACTTTCTCACTTCTAGATTCAAATTGTTCAGCTCAAGTACATATATAGGAAAAAGGGAGAAATGTTCTTTGAAAAAAATTTTTATTTCAAGTTATACACACATAAAAAAAGACTAGAGCAAAGATATATTTGCTAGATTTTAACATCATACTAGCCCCTTCAATCAAGATGGATTTCTCTTATAATAAAGTAATGCAATTCTCTCTAATGAATTTCTTACTCCTTCAGGAATACAGAGTCAAAATTTATAATACTAGTGGGTCTGGCACATAAAACTTTTATGTGAAGTTCATGAGATTGAGTATCTGTGAGAGGGAGGCTCCTAAGAAGGAAAGAAAACTATTAATGAAAAATAAGAGGCAAGTTAAAATTGCAACTGTGGTACATTTCAGTGGTTCTTCCAATGGCTCTGCTTTTTATATTTTCTCCTCAGGAAATTCACATTTAGAAAAGATGTTCTTTTCTTAATTTATTAAATTACAGGTCAACTTCCTACTTTTACTTATCGACTAAGTAAAAGTGCCAAATCAGAATGGTGTTCTGGCAAAGACCAAGAAACCCAATAAAGAAACTTTATAGTGGGTAAATATATGATGGTCACTGGATTTTTTTCAATTTTGAATACAGATTCCCATGAATGTTTCTTTGGACTCAAGGAGCCCAAAAGGGAGTACTCATAAAGAAGGTCAGAGGCAGATCATAAGGAAAAGAGAATCTGGGATAAGGGGGGGTCTCTGCCATGACCTCCTCGCTCTCTGACACCTTTACCAAATTACCTACAAGTTTTTCATACTGGATGTGACTTGTGTATCTTGAAACTTGCTCACTAAAAGCATGTTCCATCAAATCCAATATGGTCTGTTAAGTTACAACTAATGTTTCTTGGCTATCAATGAGTTCAATTGTGATCAGAGAGTGAAATGAGTGTAACATGAAATTGTTGTGTTTCCTTATTATGCAGCTCTGTAACAGTAGAAGTAATATTTTAACCTTTAGCAGGAAAGGTAAAAAGTGTACTGTCATTGCAGTTCTATTTTAAAAGAAATGAAAAAGAGCTCCTGAACCTGGAACTCCACCTCAGAGAGGCATACCCCAAGACTTGTGTGACTCTGGTTCTGGCAGGTCACACTTCCTCCTGTTCTTATAGCTCCTCTTCCATCTGCTGTACTTAGCACTAAGATGTGAATATTCCTGTTTGATTATTTTTGTACACTTTTAACACATCCTGGGGCAGCCTCCACCATGGTGAGTTGCCTGGCCACCCAGGTAGTCTCTGTAGGTAACAATTATTGTTTTTGTTAGTATTTTGGTCACAAAGATATACAAGTTTTGAGGAATTTGTCCTTAAGCTTATTTTTAGCATAAGTTCTGTTCTTTTTAAGGAATATCTTTTGAAGATTGCATCATTCTTCAGGAATATGTACTTGTGTTATGGTAGGAATCCTGTACTTTGCATTTGGTGGATACTGAATAATTGCTGACAGGTTATTTATAATTAATTAACTACATGACAAGAATTTTAAAAAGTGATTCTAAGGAATGACTGCTGCCAATGAACCCAATTACAAGAATTCTGCAAGATCATTTGACTTTTCTAGAATATAAAATCTCTAAAATTATTTTAACTTGCACGATTTGCTCATTACTATGCATTACTACTGTTTTAGAGAAATGCAAGCTAACTTTTCATTTTCAATGACTGATGAATAATCATCCGTTAATTCTTGAAGCTGAATAACAGGAAACTGTACTTGTTTTTCAAACCATTTGGCAATTGTAAGAAGCTGCTGGTCACAAAATGCTTGCCCAATAAACTGCAGTCCTATTGGCAACCCTTGGCTGGAGAGGGCCATCGGGACATTCACTGCTGGCAATCCTGAGGAAAAGAAGTCCATTAGTTGATTATTTCTCCATCCAAGGAAGCAGAGACATTTTCCACCTTCCTTGTTGGGTATAATACAAGGTATAGTTCAAAAATATATAAAAACAATTTGGTGGTATACTTGAAAGTTCTCAGATGAAGAGGGACTGCTTCACCAAAGGATAAACACATATGTAACAAGATATTGTCAAATTTGTTCCAAAGAAGCTGTACCAATTTGAACTCACATCAGCAAAATGAGTGCCTTTTTCTTATAGCCTCACTAACAGCATGTTGTTCAGCTTTTGAATTTTTGACAATTCATTTGATGATAGGTCAGGGCAGTTTCAATTCCAAGTTTGGGGCAGAAAGTTTAAGATCTTGAATATTTTGTTATGGCACAATATAAGAACATTGTCAAAAATGAATTGTGACAGGTCTAAAGGATAAAAGCAACTTGACTGGGTTCCTGTTAGTTAGATTTGGGACACTCTGATGAACATCAAAAACAATGACATTAATTGCTTATAATACTTGAAATTTTTTTGAAAAAGAAAAGTTGTTCTTTAGCAAAGAGTATTGGCTAACAAATGTAGAAGGAATGACAGAATAAGAAAAGTTAGCATTTTGTGATTTTCTGGGTAATAATTCAGGTAGAGATCATCAATAGATGCTAAAATTGGGTTTAAGCTTATTGGGGAATAAGATGTCCACATGGTCTAACCAATTGCTTATATTTGATAAAAAGAAAAATGTACTTTTACAAAGAAAGCATCTGGCAGTGACTTCCTTAACCAAGGGAGCACCTTAGTTTCTAACAGTGGAACAAACTGACATTAACTGTTTCCTGATGTGAAAAGTATGTAGTATTTCTGCCAAAAATGTTTCATTCAATCCAATCATGAGGAAGGAGATTATGGATGGGACATCCTACATGACAAGTAGTCTACACTCTTCAGAAAAGACAATGTCCCTTAAAACAAAAATTTTTAAAGGTGGGGAATTTCTTATCAGAAACTCTGCAGGCCACATTTTTTAAATACTAAGGAAAAGAACTGAAATATAACCCTATATCCTGCAAAGACACCTTTTAAGAATGAAAGGAAAATAAGACATTCTTAGAAAGAAAACTAAGAGAATTAGTTGCCAGCAGACCTATCCTAAAAGAATGACTAAAGGAATTTCTTTAAACAAAAAGGATATGATGAAAGGAGGCTCATTCACAGGAAACAAAAGTTTAGGTAAATATCATAGCCTCTTTCCTTATCCTTTTGGGTTTTCTACATTATGCTTGATGATGAAACAGAAAATTGTATTACAGTCTGATATGGTTCTTAAAAAAAAAAGAGAACTCTGGGGAAGTGTTCTAGATTTTAAAAAGAAACAAATGTAGTATATCAGGGTGAAAGTTTAAATCAAACCATTTAAACTTCAAAAACTTTCTGGGTACAATTGAGAAATTTAATTACAGTCCATATTTGTGTTATTATTGTATTAATGTTAATTTTCTTAGGTGTCATAATGGAATTGTGGATCTATAGATTGTCTTCTTTCTTAGGAAGATTTATGCTAAGTTATTTTTTATTTTTTTTTAAATTTATTTATGCATACAAGCACTGGGGTACAGGCTAGAGGTGTGGGAGGTTGAGAGGATTCACCAGAGACAGAGTGGGGACCAGAACAGGCGGACTGACTGAAATACACTGCTGAGGGGAGCAGCAGGCGAGACCAGAGAGGTCTGCTGTGTCCTGTGCATAGCTCCCTGGCTGGCAATCAAACTTGTGCTGCAGTGGCTGCAGATGGCTTCATAGGTTGTGTCTTAACCCCTTGTGTCACCAGGGAGGCCTTATGCTAAAGTTTTTAAAGGTGAAGTGTCATTATGCTGCAAACTTTCCTTCAAATTATTCAGCTAAAAACAAAGTTGTATGTGTGTCTGTGTAAAGAGAGGGAAAGGAGAAAGCAAATGCCAATAAGGGTAAAAAGGGTATAATGCATCTGCATTATACTTTTTCAAATTTTCTATAATAGTGGAAAATTTCAAAATAAAAGTTTAAAAGTATGCTATTAAGTGAACTGATTCTGAATGTGAGAGTGTGTGTGTAGTGAGTATAAGTACATTTGAGCCAATGCATGCTCATGTACACAACACATACACACACTCACTCACACATTCCTGAGCATTCCAGGACAAACTAGTGATTTTCAGAAACTATCTAGTTAGAACTAAGTTGAAGACCAGGCCTAAAAATTTTAAGAAATTCAGAATATTTTTGAGGGATCCTCACCTGCCATATTTACAGCCTGTGTGAAAATGTCATCCTGGGCACTTCGTGTTCTGTTGTCTTCTTTGATGAACTCCACGTATGGCACTGCCTCACTTAAAGTGGTGGGGGTGAGGAGGACATCCACTCCAGAGTTAAAGACATTCATAAAATCATTAGCAATGAGTCGTCTTACTTTCTGTGCTTTGACAAAATAATTCTTGTAATTTCTGTGGGGGAAAAAATGACATTGTAAGGGCTTCTTGTTATTTCTTTTTTTTTTAAAAAAGATTTATTTATTTATGCACACAAGAACTGGGGTACAGGCCAGAGGTATGGGGGGGGTGTGGTGAGAGGATTCACCAGAGACAAAGTGGAGAACAGAACAGGTGGATTGACTGAAATACACTGCTGAGGGGAGCAGTGGGCAAGTCAGGAGAGGTCTGTTGCTCCATGTGGGTAGCTCCCTGGCTGGGGCTCGAACTCCTGCTATAGTGCTGCGGATAGCTTCATAGGTTGCATCTCAACCCCTTGCATTACCAGGGAGGCCCTTCTTGCTATTTCTTTGAAGTAATTCGCATGCATAAGGCAGGTAAAGAATCACTGTATTTTTCAACTTTATGATCAGGCTCTGTTAATATTCCCAATGACACATTAAAACACATTTTATTGAACTGTGCTGTTACTCTAAAAATATGTGTATCTGGAATTTAATCAGAATTTGCTACTAGATGTTATTCTGCATATATAATTACAAAATATTAGCACTTCCTGGTACATCATTAAGCCAGAACATTCATTTCTAGGTGAAGAAAAACAAGTGCATAGTAATTAAATGATCTCCCAAAGATTACAAAGACAGACAGTGGTAGAGGAAGGACTAGAGCTGAGTTCTCAGGAGACTCATTGCAATCCTCTTTCCAGTGTAATGTTTTATTTAATTTGTAGTATAATGATATCTAATTATTATAAGTATTCTGAAGTTTTGCAAAATTCTAACATGCCATCAGAATCAGATATTAGGAAACATTTTCTAGGAAATAAAAAAAGGGGGAAGTATGCAGTGTTTGCAATTTTGTATTTTAGGGATAGGCATAGCCCAGGAATGGGAATGTGAAATTCAAGAAAGGATGCTTACTTTTCTAGAATAATTAAGGAGTGAGACAGACGTAGAAGTGATCCTAAGTCAATGAGGCAAAGGAAGGGATAAACACTCCTTAGTCCTCCTGAAGCTGTTAATGAATGCTGACAAAGTGCCAACCATTCCAAACTTCAGTTTCCTCACCTGAAAATATGGATATAACTCTAACCTTACAAAAGATCAAATACAAGGACATAAAAATATCAAACTGGGGCCTCCCTGGTGGCGCAGCGGTTGAGCGCTGGGTTGCGAAGCTGCCCGCAGCCTCTGCAGCGCCGGTTCGATTCCCGGCTGCTCCCCGGCCACTGGAGGAGGGTCCCACATGGCGTGCAGACCTCTCCTGCCGCCCGCTGCTCCCCTCAGCAGTGTCCTTCAGTCCTTCTGCCTGCTCTGCTCTCCGCTCTGGCTCTGGTGAATTCTCTCACCCTCCGGCGCTTCTGACTGTACCCAGTGCTTGTATAAACAAACAAACAAATAAATAAATAAATCTTTAAAAAAAAAAATCAAACCGTTTTTAGCCTAAAAAATACTTCGAAATATATAAGATGTCCTTACTATCATTTGACCACAGGGTAACTGATCACAATATTAACAGCATTTCCCAAACCTGAACTTTATAAATGAACAATTCTTTTTTCTATTAAATTTCTTCCTACTTTAAATATGGCCCAGAAGTAGAACTTCTGCTTCTATCAATGATGGAACAATATGGATGGGATTTATCCGACCAATTAAACAACTGAAATGTAGACAAAACAAAACTATCATTTTCAGACATTTGACAACCTTCAGCATTCAGGAAAAGGGAGTTCTGAGTAAAGGGGTGCAAACAAGTGAAGCCTGTGACTTCCCTGAGGTAATGCCTGGGGGCAGTTTATGTGTCTTGGGGAGTTGTCATTAAGTTAAAGACATAAGAGGTTGACGTTCAGGGCCTCCCCGGTGGCGCAGCGGTTGAGCGCTGGGTTGCGAAGCTGCGCGCGGCCTCTGCGGCGCCGGTTCGATCCCCGGCTGCTCCCCGGCCACCAGAGGAGGGTCCCACATGGCGCGCAGACCTCTCCTGCCGCCCGCTGCTCCCCTCAGCAGTGTGCTTCAGTCCTTCTGCCATTTCTGCTCCCCGCTCTGGCTCTGGTGAATTCTCTCGCCCTCCCGCGCTTCTGACTGTACCCAGTGCATGTATAAACAAAACAAACAAACAAACCAGCAAACAAATAAATAAAGCACGCCTCTATAAAAAAAAAAAAAAAGAGGTTGACGTTCAGGGGGCAAAGGTTTGTGGAGCAAAGGACTAGACAGAAGAAAGCAGCACAAAGAGAAAAATCAAAAGATCTGCAGAGAAACTCCTTGAGTTTTTGGTGAGTATGGCTAAGTGAGTACATCTGTGATGTGTAAGAAGAAACTCCCATCCTTGGGAAACTAGCTCATCCTTGTTATCTAAGACAATCTAAACAGGAGTTACAGTAACTTATAATTCTTTCCTGGAGCAAACAGATACATAATGAAAGGGAAAACTAAGTCGAGTCACTAAATTTTTTAAGATACAATAACGTAATTTTTTTTTTAAAAGATTTGTTTATGCATGCAAGAACTGGAGTACAGGCCAGAGGTTTGGGGGGTGAGAGGATTCACCAGAGACAGAGTGGGGAACAGAACAGGCATATCTACTGAAATACACTGCTGTGGGGAGCAGCGGGCAAGTCAGGAAAAGTCTGCTGCGCCATGTGGGTAATTCCCTGGCCGGTAAGTGAACTCACACTGCAGTGGCTGCAGATAGCTTCATAGGTTGCATCTTAATCCCTTGCACCATTCACCAAATTTTTCAAGATACACCAATGTAACTTCTTTCTAACAGCAATAAGCCAACATGACAGCAATACTCAGGAGCTACTTAACGAGTTTAAAATTCTTCAGGGCTTTCTACTTAGTTTGAACTTATAATGTTACTAGTTCATCAATATTTATTTGTTTTGGGGTAACAAGGAACCAAAAGTACCATAAACAAGTGTTTAAGCAGGCCTTTTCTAATTTAAGTCATAAGGATTCTGTTGCCTTAGCAAATATCTCAACTAGTAAGACCTGACAGACATGCAGCTACTTTACTCTTGAGTTTTTAAGCATGGGAGAAATTCCTAATTATCTTACTCTTTCAATAAAAAAAAGTTTCCAGAGAGAATTCTCCCTCTCACCACATCATTGAACCCTTCTCGTCTGGTTGCAGCATACATGGCTTCAGTAGACACATCAATGTCACATCTGTGACCTCAAAACAAAAAAAAGAGATAAATATTATCTGAAAAGGAAATAAAGTTTTGGGTGAAAGCAGGCCTAGATTCATAATTGTGACCAACACTAAAATTCATGGAAATTGCCATTACTGATTCCTCTTTTTTATCTGCCTTGTGACTACTAACCAGGCAGGAATCAAGTAGAGGGAAGAAAATAACCAAGAAAGAAACTCCATTTGCTCACTTCCTCATTCACTCATTTGAATGTTCACTGAGCTCCTACGCTGGGCCAGGCACTGTATTAGACAGACTGATATACAAAGATAAGAAATGTCTCTTCAAGATAGTCACAGGCCAGAGAGGTAAAATGAACATAAGGAAATATTTATAACAATGTTAAGTATCGTATACTTACAAATTGATGAAGTAAATGATTCAACCATTATCATTATCTCATGGCTTTCTTTTTTTTTTTTTTTGCCACTAATAAGTGAACATATCAACAGTTTGAGGCAAGTACCTTACAAATCCAAAGCAGAACTATCTTACCATATTCTAGTCCATCAAATCTTGCCATATTCGATGCCACTTCTGATGTGCATAACACATGGTAGCAAACAATGGAATAACTGGTATGGGGCAGAGATACTTCAATTACCCTGGCCCCCTCAGACTCAAAGAGGTCAGCAGCTCGGGACCAAAGTGATTGTACTTCACTTGATAATTCTGGTACAAGATATTCCTTATTGGAAAAAGATACAGAAATTGGGACATGTGATTAGATGATTTTATAAAAATTTATACTCTTGGACCTTTGGTAGTAAGTGAGAAAATCTGATTAAAGTGCGTGTAGGTACTAGAAAGATTGAATCCATTTAAGAATGTTTATGGTACAACTACCATAGCACTAGGTGTTATTAGCTAGATATAACAATATTAAAGATTGATGATCAGGTTGGAAATCTTTATTTTTTTAAAGATTTATTTTTATACAAGAATTGGGGTACAGGCCAGAGATGCAGGGGTGAGAGGATTCACCAGAGACAGAGTGGGAAACAGAACAGGCAGATGGACCGAGGTACACTGCTGAGGGGAGCAGTGGGTGAGACAGGAGAGGTCTGTCCCGCCATGTGGGTTTCTCCCTGGCTGGGCGAATCGAACTTGTGCTGCAGTGGCTGCAGATTGCTTCATAGGTTGCGTCTTAACGCCTGCGCCATCAGGGAGGCCCCAGGTTGGAAATTTTACAGCTGGTGGTGGGAAATCTTACACCCGCGAATTCAAGGTGTAGTGGCCAATGATGCTGCTGCTAAACATCTTGGAATGCATAGCACAGTTAGTATTTCAGAACAAAAACTATCCAAAGGATATTCGGCCTCTGTTATGCAAGGAATGGCTCTGGCTGTTATACCATTAGCAAGCTATGCATTAGCAAATAATGCCCATCCGTCAAAAGGTGACTTGCCAGCTATTTTGAAAAAACTTTTATTAAAACAGTCATGCCCTTTCATTTTCCTAAGGTCTTTGGTTGTTTTCACACTACAGTGGCAGAGTGAAGTACTTATGACAAAGATTCTGTGGCCCACAAAGCTGAAAATATTTACTTTACAGAAAAAGTTTACAGAATCCTCCTTTAACATGATTCTTTAACATCATTATCTAATTTAATCCTCATCAACCTATGAGATCAGTTCTGATATGATTCCCATTTTACAGATGGGGAAACTAACTTTAGAGAGATTAAGTCATATGCTCAAGTCACACAGCTAATAAAAGTGGAAAAGTAAGTATCCAACCAGTTTGTTTCCCAAGTCTGTGCTCTGTTATTGGGAATGACAGTATTTTGTAAACAATGCAAGGAAAGAGTTACCTTTGGAATTCCTATACATAGTTTGCTCATATTTGTCAAATTGGGAAGAACAAATGGTTTAACAGGATCTTGTATTGTGGTAGAATCTTTGGGGTCATGCCCAGCCAGCATACCTATAAAGGGAAATACTTATGAGTAACACTATTTTACAGTGAAATTGTAATGTTTTTAAACTATATGAAATCATATAATACCCAGCACAATTGCTGCGTCATCCACACATCTGGTTAGGATTCCTGGCACATCCATTGAATTCACGAGGGGAATGAGACCATGACGAGAAACTAAGCCATAGCTTGGTTTTAAGCCAACAAGCCCACAATGGGCAGCTGGATTTCTGGTCGATCCTCCTGTATCTGATCCTAAAGCCCTGGGATTTAAAATGGAACTCTGTTTAGAAGAATGACATATCTCTAATTATATCTGAACTCTCCCTTTTAAAATGCATGTTTTTAAACTGTCTTTACCCCATTATATAGAAGTACATATGTTGTTTCAGAGAATTTATGAAGTATAGAAGAGTGTAGAGAGGCAGCAAGATATTCCACCACTCAGAGACATGATGTTAACATTCAGCATATTAACATCAAGTCTTTTTTTAAAAGTATTTTTCTTTCATAGTTGAGGTCAATCTGTATTCCTAAGTCTCCATTTCCTTTTTGCTTTCTGTGCTTTCACTATGTTGTTAAAATTATTGAAAATTTAAAGTGTGTATAATATTCTATCATATAAGTTGGTGATTCTCAATAATTTTAAGTGCATTCTCCTAATGATATATAAACAAACCTCATGCCTTCCTTTGATGTTACTTGTTATTTAAATCAAATTAATGGCAATTTTGCACGATGCTTTCACAAACTAAAAATACCCCTCCCAGAAATTTAGATACAACCTTTCCATTGAATCACATTTAAAGTAAGAATGTACTTTAAACATTTATGTTGTTTCCAACTAGGATTATAACTTATAAATAACTCTGTAATGAATAAATACCACTAAACATAATTCTTTGTGCATAAATATGGTATTTTAGGCTAGCTTCCAAGAAGCAGAGTTACTGGGTAAAAAATCAGCTCTAATTATAAGTTCTTAATCTATATTTATCAAATTATTTGTCAGAAAGATTATGCTAGTTTCTATTCCCAATAACAGTAAATCAGATTGTGTCCTAGTGTTTTGGTATCATCACTGAGGAGTAGCAGTTCTTAATACATGGTTCATTTGATAACCAAAAGCTTTGTTAATAATGTGCAGTTTTGAAAACTTTTTCACATTTATTTGTATTCACATAACCCAACTACGAAGCATGTGGGTTTTGGTTTGTTTTTTTTTTTGCCCCATTACCTATACAACATGTTTTTCTCATTAAAAACAAAAACTAACTCTAGGGTAACTCAAGGAAGTAAAATAAGGCAATCCAAAAGTACAAAGACTGCATAATTCCATGTATATGAGGTGCCCAGCGTGATCAGATTCACATAGACAGAAAGTAGACACAGGTTGGGGAGCAGATGAATGGGAGACTGTTGTTAGTGGGTACAGTTCAATTTGCAAAAGAAACATTCTGGAGATGGATGGCACAATATGTATATGTACTAAATGCTGCTGAACTCTACACTTAAAAATTGTTAAGATGGTAAATTTCATTCTCTATATAAAATTTTTTAATTAAAAATTAAGAAAAATTTAAACTGGTTTAGAAAAATGGGTTTTCTGATTAGAAAAGTGTACATATCTACTGCAAAAGTTAAAATAATATAACTCAATATGAATACATCATATTTATAAACATCAAGAGAAGTTTCTTACAATCACAGCCCCCTTAATAGCCCTATTGTCAACTTTGATACACATTCATCCAGATACTTTTCATTCAACTACTAACATGTATACAATATGTAATAATTACTTCTAATAGAAATAAGGTCATACTATACATACTGTTGTGCAACTTGCTTTCCATTTAACAATGTATCTTGGATATCTTTCCATGTCATTATATAATGCTCTAGCTCATTCTTTTTAGTGGTTGCATAGTACTCCAAGAATCTTCCTGTTTTTAAAAACTATTATAAAAGAAATAAATCAAAAGGGGGGAAAAAACAAAGCAGAACACTTGAAAGTTTGGGGGCCCATTCAATCTGGAGTTACTCTGGGTCTGTGCTACACTTGACCAGAGTGCAGCTTTAGACAGAACAAGGCTCCTAACAGTCACATGGCCCTTATGCTCTATTTTTTATTCTAGGAGAAAATGCAAATTAGATTGCCTTTCTTACCCAGTCCATTTGAGCTACAAAATCAGATTACTGCTTTCACAATTTCTAAAAAGATACATTTTCTTATTAGGATTCACTGACGGCAGTGTAAAAGTAAAACTTACATTTCCATAGGAAATGTGTCAAAATGCCATCTTCTCAAAGCACATTCAGAAAGATGAACATTAAGTGGGGTAAAGAGGATAGAAAAAAAAGCATCTAATCTTGTAGTACTAACTTGTCAGAAATCTCATTAATATTAATGCAGTGCTATAAAATTCCACAGAGATAAAATGAAATGGCTTCACTTGTTAACAAGATTTCAGGGAAACTAAAAAAAATCTGTAGAATCTAAATCTCCATAGCTCTAAAAAAATATAAATAATTTATTGGTTGCAATGCCTGTGAAGAGCTTAATTTCAGAGGATAATTAGGAAAGAGAACAAAGATACAATGCTACTAAAGTAATACATTCAGTTTGGTCAAATTGAGATGGATAAAATAAATATAAGAGTGATACTAATTTACTATCCTTCAGGTGGTTAAGAAATGGAATTTAAGACATAGAAGGATCAAAGGAGTTTTCGCAAATACAAAGATGAGAGCTGCATAAGTCAGCAACCTACAAACTTGAAAAACTTTATTGACATTTTTTTAGTATATGAAAATACTTTTAAATATCCCATTGATATATACTAGGGGAATTTTTTTCTTTTTTTTTTTTTGGGCAAATGTCAGAGTTAGCTATAAGTTAAATTATAACTAGCAAAAATTTAGCTTAGCAGCATTCAACTGAAGCCATGGTATTTAGTCCCTAAATATTTATATTATCAGTGGGTAGACACCCAAATATTTAAAAAATGAAATTCAATGAAGTCTATGCAAACTGGTATATTTTGCAGGATTCATAAAATCAGGTTTTTAAGAGACCAGTTACTATAGAGAAAGAGTTTACATGTTACCTGAGCTTAAAGGTAAATGTAAAAAATAGACTTGTATACTGTATAATGGAGGATATCAGGTACAATTTTGATATATCATTAAGGACAAATAGCTCACTATAAAGAAATAAACACACACAGGGATGGACTATTGTTGCATTTTGCATAGCTTATGATTGTTTGTACCTGTTGGATTTTAAAGCGCAGACAGAAAAAAGGCATCTTACGCAAAGCATGTGAACGCTGACACTGCCGCTGCACTCCCTCCTGAGCTTCCTCCAGTTATAACCCAATTTGAATCCTCATTCTCAGCCTGGGGTTTCTGTTTTCTCTTTTCCTTATATTGTTTTGAATAACTCCAGGGGTTTTTAACCGGTCCAAATATGCCATCTGTGCTTCCAGATCTGATGTGAAGAAATAAAGCAAGAGACCTTAGCAAAACTTTCATTTTATATTAAATCTTCATCTCTAGATTATATTATTTGCTTATGATACCCTACAGTACATTGTAACTTGACATGGAAAAGGTAAGATGTCTGTTTAGATGTAGCTCTCACTTATAGGCAGCTGAAGAATGGGAATTAAGTGCATTTGTGGTAGAAGTGGAGAAAACTGGTGTGTTAAGAAAATTTTTATCCCAGTTGTTCATCCAATTTAGTGTAAGATGACTTCCCTGTAAAGTAAGGTCTTCCAGTTAAACAGTGTCACAAATATTCAGTTAACAAGTCTCTAGAAGAAATTCCTCTATTAACCAGTAATTTTAAGAAAAGCATTAAGATTGGGATGATAATAACTTATTTTTTAAATTTTGAAATAATTTCAATCTTACAGATAAATTGCAAAAATAAAAGTCATATGGAAAATTTCTACCTTTTACCTATTAACATTTAATCCCATTTATTTTATTGTTCGTGTACTCTGTGTGTATACACATTTTTTCCTGAACCACAGAATGGTAAATTACATACATCATAACCCTTTACTCCTAAATATTCTAGTATGTATGCAAAATGCATTTCCTAAGACTAAGGGAATATTCTCTTATATAATCATAGAAGTTATCAATCTCAGTAAATTTCACATCAATACAATGCTTCATTGAGCATAATCCAATTTTGTCATCTGATCAAATAATGTCCTTTATAGCATTTTACCTCATTTCAGAATAAAGTGTCAAGTCTAGAGTCTGGGATTGGATTTAGTCATCACTGGCTGTTTAGTCTTTTTTAAAAATAGTTTTTACTATTTATTATTAAGTCATTCACCAGTCAATGGATATTGAGTTATTTCCAGTATTTGGCTAATTATGAATAAAACCTCAATAAATCTGTACTGAAAGGCCAGTGCTTTTGTGTAAATATAGGCCTTCATCTCTCATCATGCCTAGGGAGTTTTGGGCTTTGAGAAGTGTCACTACTGGAGAGCACATGGACGATCCTGCCCTCCCCCTGTACTTTGCCTTATGTGTCTCCTCCATCTGGATGTTCCTAAGTTATGTATCCTTTAATAATAAATGGCAATTCAGTGGATGGAAAAAAAGGACCAAAGTGAAAAATAAGTGACTTAATAACCTAACTTTACTCAGAGAATAGAAATCAAAATATGCTAAGAGACTTGAAGCCTGTATACATAACTCTTTCAACTCAGTGTGAAGACAAATAAACCAATTTAAAAAACTGACAAAAGATTTGGATAAATCACCAAGGAAGGTATACAGATAGCAAAATAAAAACATAATGTTTAACCTCACTGTGGCAAATGAAGCCACAATGAGATATGACAATCTATATATTGGACAGCAGAACACAATCTGACAGTGCATTCCTCAAGAAATCACCTTACCACTTTTAGGTACTTACATTTAGTGAAATTAATGGCACAAATGGAAGAATTACAAGAGAAGAAAATTTCAGTTTTACTCACCCCATAGCAAACTCATCTAAATTTGTTTTTCCCATTAGTAGAGCTCCCTGATCCAACAACTTCTGAACTACTGTAGCATTATAAGGTGGTACATAACCTGAAAAAAATACAGATACTTTATTATAGGAGAGAAAATTGTGAACATGTAATAAACAAGATTTTTAAATATAATTAAGTAACAGACATGTGTTAATCACTCCTAATTTGAGCAGCAGGCTGTACTTCTAAAAGTTAGTTAAATATTTCTGTTAATTGCTATGCTTTCAAAGGCAGTCTATAGATTCACCATTTTTATAATCTAAAAACAATATTACCAAATATTGAATGACAGTCAGACACGGACCCAATTTATTTGAAACAAACAGCAAAGCTCACTCTATTTGACTTTTTCTTCACAAATGATACTATAGCACATGGTGATTTTTATCTACTTCCAGGCAGAACAGGTCTTTATTCTCAATTAAAATTTCTTCTATCTATCTGGAATGGTGTCTATTCCAAAACAAGGAATAACAGAGAAACCTGGGAAATATTCCTCACAGAGTATTTCTCTTTAGTGTATGTGTACTCTGGGTAACTTTTTTTTTAATTCCTTTTCCTCCTGGGATCCAATGTCTTGATAAACATGATTCCTTTTGACCTACTAAACTGTAAAGAACAAAACTATGTCTCATTATACTCAGGTAAGTATAGAAATCTAAGAGATGGAAGAGTTTGGAAATAAAATAACTAGTAGACGCTAGTGAATCCTTATACTATCCTTAAGAGAGCGGGAATCAGAGTTACTTATTCCCATGTTAATAATGAGTGGGAGTGAGAGGTCACGTAGTGTGTTTGTGGTGATCAGTCATTGAATCTTCTAAATAGGAATGCTACACCTCCTAAACAGAATACATCTATTAAACTGGGTTACCACTAAAGAATACTTTTTGTATTCTGAAAGAGCAAATAGTAAAAAAGCAATATTCCACCCTTAAGTATTTCCTTTCCAGATATGAGTCTGAGAATATCTTGAAGCTTTAGTATTCTTATCTTTCATTTAAACTAAAAAATAACTTTTTATAAAATTGTTAGTGCTCTGATTAAAATTTACCTTTCAGCATATTTGATGCACATGTTGTCTCAATGCCAGAAGTGCTAAAGTTGTCTTTTACTGCAATAGGAATTCCATCTAAATCTCCAAGTGAGTGACCTATGTTAAGCCAAAAGAATAGGATATATATATATATATGATTAACAATACGGACACATTAATATTAGTTATTATAATGAGCACTAGTTTTTGGTAAAAATAATTTCTTCAGAAATCAAAGTTATGTTAGAAATTGGATGTTATAAAACTTCACCTTATCCATTTGCCTCATTTTTATTATACTTTATGCAAGTGCTTAAATAAGAGTATGTAATATGTTAAAAGCGTCACTTGCCAAATGGAGACTGCTACATTCAATTAAACTCTTTCCCTAGGGATATAACAAGTACAATTCAAAGTAATTTACCTTTCTTATATCTCTTCTCTGATTCTTCAGCTTGCTTTAAGGCCACTTCTTCTGATACAGAAATGTAAGCATTTAGAAACTTGGTTTTCTTGATAAGGGAGAGACATTTTTGACAGAGCTCAGTTGGAGTAATTTGGCCTTGTTTCAGTGCCGCAGAAACCTATAGCATATACAATTCAAAAACCCTTTACTGAGACTGTAACAGTTTCAAATATTATATTGAAGGGCAGGCAGAGTGGTTAAGAACAGAATTGTGAATTAAGGCTTGGATTAAAACCAAGAGAGCCTATCAAGCCCCATTTACACAGTGTAGTGGATGAAGGTAACACTCTGAACAGCCAGAGGATGGGTTTGAGGACACAGCACTCATCGCCCTTGCTGTGTAGCTTTCTGTTTCTAAGTCACAACTGACCAAACAACGACATAGGTAAGCCATCTTGTCGAGGAGCAGCAGAGGCCCAGAATGGGTGGAGCATACGTCAGGGTAGGTAAGTGAGTAGCTTAGCTGCATCACAGGCAGTACTGAGTGGGAAAAAAGAGAAATGAACTAGAAGGGGACTTTAATACTCTAAATAAGGTCTTTATATCTATTGTAGAATTTAAGCAAGAGCTAGTACAAACTGAGAGAAATGTTTATATACTGAATTCAAAAGGAAATAAAAAAAAATCTTTGAAATTCCGTATTTGATGCATTAGGAAAGTTTAGTAAGGAAAGCACTAAAATAATCTGTGCTACAAGTGACCAGAACCAGTAAGTTAACAGTAGGTGAAGCCTGAGAAGTGAGGACTGTTTGATACTTCTTATAGGAAGTAACAATAATAAATACTAATCAGATAAAAGGAATGAATAATACTAAGTCAAAGATGACATCAAAGTTTAAAAGATTACATGAAAAGAGACTTGGATAGGATGGGAATTCAGAGGCCAGAGGTTGGGGGGAAGAGTAATATTTGAGTATTTGCCAAGAGCCATGCACTGTTGCTATTATTTCATTCAATCCTTCAAACAACTACATAAGTTAGATATCATTAACTTCATTTTCCAGAAACTGAAGCTCAAACAGGTTAAGTGATTTGTCCAAAGAGACATATAGTAAAGGGTTAGGGTTAGCTTCTTAACACAAGCTCGTTCACCATTTCTCTGTGCTAGTAGAAACTTAGTTTGTCCTCTATATTGACTGTATTTGCATGTGTCCCATATCTATCAAGATACAGGAGTGTGTAGGTCAGGGGAAAATCTGCAAATGATCTGCTCTTAACTGTTCAATAAATCACCAAAGCAGTGGTATTCTTAGGGCTGAGGTTTCCAAACAAGAAAAGCAATGGGAAAAGGCCAGTGAGAGGACCCCTTAAATGCTGACGGACAAGAGGAAGAAAAGACTATCACCGGGGAGCTGAGGAAGTGACTAAGGGATTGGAGGGGCCGTTAGGTTTGACTTAAAGGAGGTAATGTAGTAACAAGACCAGATATTTATGCTGAATGTTTTGTATGAAATGTAAACTCTAGGGCCTCCCTGGTAGCGCAAGGGGTTACGTCTCAGCACTATGAAGCAATCCACAGCTACTGCAGTGCGAGTTCAATCCCTGGCCAGGGAGCTGACCCACATGGCGCAGCAGACCTCTCCTGTCTCTCCCGCTGCTCCCCTCAGCAGTGTATTTCAGTAGATCTGCCTGTTCTGCTCCCCACTCTGTATCTGTGAATCCTCTCACCACCCCCCCCCCACACCTCTGGCCTACACCCCAGCTCTTGTATGCTTAAATAAATAAGTCTTTTAAAAAAAAAAAGAAATGTAAACTCTAGAAGAAAGGAATTAGAGAGAAACAAGAAAGCAGTATATTCTAATATTGTCAATAGGAGTGAGATGAAAGAAGGCTGAATGTAAGAGAGTAGGAACTAGCAAAAACCCGAAGCTAGAGAGACACAGCAATTATAGGCAGACCGATCCCACAGCAGAGTTGCAATAATAAAGAATAGTATGTCTGCCACTCTCTCCTTTGCCTCCTCTACAGTCCCCTAATGCCTACTATCTGCTGCTTGCTTTCTGACTTGCCAATTGGTAAGAGAATAAGAGCTTGCAACTCTTGGGAGTTACTACAGTGATTAGAGGGCAAGAAACAAGATCACTTAGGAATTCACATTTTAAATGGTTCTGATCTTTGTTAGGATCATTTTTAGGAAATTCAGATTGGAGAAGGGAATTGGCCAAGGGAAATGAAAACAAAAATGCTAATCTAACTTTAATTAGCCTGATAGAAAATGATCCTGAGCACAGCACCTAGAGAACCTAGGCTCCTTACCCACAAAATGGTGAGATAAAATTGTGTTTTTCCTTCACATTGTGTTGTCAAAAAGTTTATATTAATTTGTTATGCAGCAATAGAAACATAATATACTTTTTCTTAGAAAAATTAGGAAATCTTTCTCAGTATTCACTCTTCCTGGAAATCAGGAGAACAGAAAACTGTAGATTCATATAATTTAGCAATATTGTCCCTATAACAAAATGAGTGTTAATAATGCACGTAGTTCTGGGCATATCCTAGATGCTTTATAATTCATTTAATTTTTACCTTCACACGAGGGGCTAATATTATTTCTACTTTCCAGGTAAATTACTGAAGATCCTGCATGAAGTCACATCTAATCTTGTTTTCAAAACTCATACTCTGCACACAGGAACTGGGTATAGGCCAGAGGTGCAAAGGGTGAGAGGATTCACCAGAGACAGAGTGGGGAGCAGAACAGGCAGATCCACTGAAATACACTGCTGAGGGGAGCAGCAGGCAAGACGGAGAGGTCTGCTGTGCCATGTGGGTCAGCTCCCTGGCTGGGGATCGAACTCATGCTGCAGAGGCTGCGGATAGCTTCACAGTGCTGTGCTTAGGCCCTTGCGCCACCAGGGAGGCCCCTACAAAACTCATACTCTGGACTACTATATTCTTTCTCTATGCAAGGTGTTAGAGTGTTTACTCTTCTGTAACACAGTGGAGAAGGTTTTATTATCTTTACAGATAGCATCCTAGTCCATTTAGGAAAAAAAAATTTTAAAGTCATGCTAAATGCTGAAAGAGCTCTTGAGGGCTAAGTGTCCAGTTGAATGGCACCCATTTTCTCTCTAACACACACTCATTTAACATTCATGCTTTTGTCTCCACTGTTTCAAGAAATTGTATTATCAAGGCCACCAGCAATCTCCACATTCTAAATCCAGTAGTCACCACTAAGTTCTCACCTTACAGTGCTTCTCTGCAGCATTCAACATAAGAGATAACTCTCCTTGAAGTATTTCTCCTTCACTAGCACACACATCCTCCTGGGTTTCCTGTTGCTTGACAGGCCATTTCTTCAGATCTCTTTTTGCTGACTCTGCTTCCTATTGCTGACCACTACATGTTGAAAAGTTTTAGGTCCTCTTCTGTTTTTACACTCGACTTTCCAGGTGATCTTATCTGACCTATAGCTTGTCTTCCATACCCTGATGAACATATCCCCTTTATCTAGTCCCTTTCTTGATCTCCAAATTCATCTCTCTCTGCCTAACTGACAGACATGATGGCAGCATGATCCAGAAGGCATCTCAAAATTAATATATCCAAAAGAGAACTCTTAATAACCTTTTCCTCCCAAATATTCCTTGTAGAGTTATTCCCATCTTGATAAATGTTACCATCTCCCCAACTGCCCAAAGCAAAAACTTAAGTATCCCCTTTATAAGATTTTGGGGGACCAGGAACCACCAAATAACGATTTGCATATAACAAGCATTAATAAATATTGGCTAAAGGAGTGATAAGTGAAAATCATTTCATCAGACAACCTCCTTTGCACCCTTGGGTAGCTCCTCTAAATGTTTTTCCCCTTGGTGGTAAAAGTTATTCCTCACAATGGCTCACTCAACAACACCTGGAAGGGGTGGCCCAAAAAGGTGGTGCTAAAGGGGGAAAAAATCCATATTTTTTACATTATGTTTTATTTTTAAAACTTTTTTTTTAAAGAACAAATTGATTCTTAATTGATGGTAAAAGCCAGATGCAATTTCAGATGGTAAAACAACAATATATTTTGGGAAAGAATTATGTATTATTTAAAGTTTGTAGCTTTAAAGTCCTTCTAATTTTCAGCTTTCTAAAGGCTATCAGGCTGGGGAAAAAAACATCTCAGGTGAAGATACAAAAGAAACACAGAGGGCAGTGTAGGTCATCAACACCTTATCAGCAGAACTACCTGGAGTTCTGGTTAAACCATACAGATCCTCCTTGACTTCTGATGGGGTTATAGCCTGATAAATACCATAGTAAAGTGTTGAAAATCTCAGTAATTTACTGGTTACCATGATGAAAGCGAAAAACAGAGGATTGTACAGATTCTCAGCATTAACATACACAGCAGAAAAAAGAGGAAAGCAACCTGAGACTGAAGGATGCTTGAAAAATTGAACTAAAATTAATTGGGTGATTGGGATACTACTGCAACAGGGTCATCAAACCTTCTGATGAGTCATGTAATCAGCTGATAGGTTTTTTTACCCTTAGTTGTGTGGTTGACTGGGAGATCCGCCCACTGCCCAAAAGTGCCTTCCCAGCATCACAGTATCTTACCACATATTACTAGCTGAGGAAAAGAGCAAAATTCAAAGTACGGTATCCACTGAATGTATATTTTCACACTATCATAAAGTGGAAAAATCATAAGTCAAACTACTCTTTTTACTACAGTAAAAAGAGGACCATCTGTATAATGTGGGCATTATAACACATCTGCCTGAGTGAGACACAACTGTAGTTTTAACGAAGACCTAATGTGATTTTGATAGCAGTGGGCCTGCAGTCAGTCTCCAGCTTGAGAGACTGGGCCAGAAAACAAGGAGACTTGAATTACAGCCATAACAGCAGGGATAAAGTGAGAATAGGTTGTAGACATAATTTCAAGAGATAACAGGGCAAGACAGTTATTGGATATGACAGATGAAGAAGAATCTAAGGACAACTAGGATAACGGCAGTACCATTTAAAAGAGAATATTAAGAATTAATTCAGAAATCAGGTTTTGTTTTTTTTAATATGGAAGTTTAAAAGAGGTAGTCCTTTCGTTAAATTGAGTTTGAGATACTTAAGAGACATTTGGAAGAGATGTCCAGAAGGTATTTTGTAAATATAGCCTAGAGTTCAAAAATGACCAGGAAATGACACAGGTATCATAGAGGACGCCTAGAGAATGAATATATCAAGGAGTGTATGGTGAGAAAGAAGAGTCAATAAATTCTTAGCATTTTGCAAAGTACAGATTTGCCCAGCCCCTTCGCGAGAGCTACATCAGGTGAGTGTCAAGAATTCAACAAATACTTGAAAAGACCTGCAGAGCCCTAGCTGAGATGATCCGGGGCCTGACCCAAACTTGAGCAAACGTTTTATTGAGGAAGTCTGTATATATATATATAATTCCGCCCCACAGCTCCACGGCACAGAAATCTCCCTTGCAGAGGGGCTAACTCCAAAACAGATGAGTACAGTATCGTCTAAGTACCCAAAGGTCGGCATCTCCCACCAGGTGACCAAGGTCCATGGTCAGGCCCGGAGTCTCCATGCCTATGGACTCATGGAATCTTTTCGACCTCCCTAGGCCCACATCAGCCAATTCCACTCACTTCTCGGAGGGTCCGGCCCAGCATAGTCTTCTTGCCCACCCTGCCACTGCAGCAACCAGGTGACGAGGGCGGTAAAAGGTCAGCCGCCTCCAGCAGTATTACATGGGCGCAGCCATCTTTAATCGTCACTGAACCTTTCAGTACCGAGTGCTTCGATTGGTCAAATTGCAGCCGGATGAAATGATCCTTGCACGTGATTGGCTGTTGTCTCAAAGCAACTCCCACGGCGCAGGAGTGCTGGGAGCAAGGAGACACCTGGCAGGGGTCGCGGCGCAAGTTGGGAACTTTCTGGTTTTCTGTGGCTCCCGGGTCGCGAGCCGAGTCCGCTTGTCACGCCGAGGGCTCTAAGGACAGGACAGGGTTTTAGGGTGTTTGTTTCGTGTTTGTTTTTTTAAAGGGGAGGTGGTAGTGTAAGGGAAGAGGAGCATGGACAAAATACAGAGTGCGACCTTAATTGAAGCATTTCAGATGCGAAGAGCAGAATAATTCCATGATCTTACTCCTCTAATGCGCCATTAAGTTAACTTAATTTTTGAGTTCTCAGCTTTGAAACTAGCCAGTGTGTTTGACAGAACTTAACTGGATTCAAGGGTGCAGGGATTCCAGGTGCATTTTCAATTGGGCACTCAATTGAACCACTGTTTAAGATGGAATTTCTGAAAACCTGTGTGCTTAGAAGAAATGCATGTACCGCGGTTTGCTTCTGGAGAAGCCAAGTTGCACAAAAGCCTTCCGTTAGAAAGATAAGTACTACTTCTCCAAAGAGCACTGTCATGCCCGCGTGGGTGATAGATAAATATGGGAAGAATGAAGTGCTTCGATTTACTCAGAACATGATGCTACCTATCATACACTTTCCAAATGAAGTCATTATCAAAGTTCATGCTGCGAGTGTAAATCCCATAGATGTTAATATGAGAAGTAAGTTTCCAAAGACCTTTATTGTTACTTTTTAAAAAGTTCTTAAGAGAATTTAATCAGGGATCATTTTTAAAAGATAAGTTATTTGATTATACTTTTTAAAATTAATATAGATGAATTATTTAAGCTTTTGACGGTGTTGGTAGATAATTATTTCCAAAATGCTTGAAATTGCAATGTCTGTGGTATAATCTCTTACACAATGTAAGTTTGAGTTGTTTACTTCTTTAAAAGTTAATTGAGATGAGAGTTGTGTCTACAATAACTTTCTGGTGTTCTCACCTGGGAACTTTGTGCTATTCCTGCGGTCCGTCACAGGTTTAGTTATGTTTTCACATCAGTTCAGAATTCGCATTTTTATAATAATTACTTGTCTTTCCTCTCCCACTCCTTAGTTTCCTTTACTGGCACAGTGGACAAAGCAGAATAGAAAGCCAGGATATAAACACAGTAATTTCTTCACTTCTGCTGTGCATTTTGCCCTCAACAATTAAAATACACTTTCCTGTTATGCTCTATCTTAAATGGGAGTAATGTTATCTTAAGTTCTGGGAGGGGAGAAGATTATTTACACAGCTTGGAAAGCACTATATTCCTTAAGTATATATTGTGAGTTATTATAGTACTGAAAATATTGGTCACTATTGGGAATTACTTTAACTTTGGAAAATGATATGGATGAATAACGAATGCTTATGGGAATTACTCTGTGTCTCAAAAAATATCTTTTGGTATGATTGGTCAATTAACCTCTGTGTTCTGGTCATATTAATGAGCAGAGAAGCATTATTTTACACCTTTGCATGTGGATATACCTAAATCTGTGCTGTCCAGTATCGTATCCACTAGCCACACAGGAATATTGAGCAGTTGAAACTGATTTGAATTGAGATGTGCAGTTAGTGTGAAATACACTTTTTTTTTGGCTCAAACCATGTAGGGATTTCAGTGAATAATTGTGTTTTAGTTGTGGAAAAGGAATGTGAGGCAGAAAAAGTGGAACATGTGACTTTTTTTTAGTGTTACAGATGAAGTTGTTTTTGTCCTTGATGGATGACAAATGTGTAATATTGGCTTAATGGCTATCAGCTTAAATTTTCCGGGGCTGTTTCAACTTTCAAACAATTGCTCCCATGTGTCTTGACTTTTTTTAATTAGAAAAACAACTCTGCAAGCCATTCACCTGTCAGCATCTCTCCCTATATCCTTTACCTTCCTTCCTACTGTATAGGTTAATTGTCATGGGCCCCTCTAAGTCAGCTTGCCATTTGAGATCTAGAGTCCATCCACTGTCACTTACTTGGGAGTATTGTTTCAGCAACTCTCTCCTGCTCCGTTCAGCTTTTGTTTTCTGATCATTCCCTTGGTTTATAAACATGCTATTATTTCTTCCCTATTAGTGAGGAAAACAGACACACTCTCCCTATTTCAGTTGTCCCCACCCCTGCTTTGCCCATCTCCAGCCACTGCTCCATTTTTCACTTCTTTATAGCAGAACTGCTTGATAGAGTTTAATGCTCTATCAAGCATTAAACTTGATGGTCTCCAGTTTCCTCACTGCCCATTCTCTTTTGGGCACCTGTAGGGTAAGTGAATGGATCAGGCTTTTTGCACCACTAGTCTCTGTGGCTGTAACTTGCCTTCAAAGTGTTAATGCAGAAGCGCTTGGGAGTGTGAGCACGGGGCACATGTGCCTGATTGTGGACCCTGGAATATGGGTGTGCGCATGCGTAAGTTTGCACACCTGAGCCTGGGGGTCAGGGATATAAAGGATGGCTACGGGACGGCTACAAGAGGAGGAGTGACGACAGAAGAGGGGAGACCATGAGAAAAGCCAGAAAGCAGAGGGGAAAAGTGTAAGGATTTTCTGGGGATTGGAAGGCTTGGTTGCTGCCAGCGTTGGAGATGGGGGGGCCCAGAAGGGGTACCCCAATTCCCAGTCCCTGGTCCCCCTGCCCGCCCTGTGCCTAGTTGCCCCACTACAACACCCCATGCCACAGCCATTGCATCAATCAAAGTCACCAAAGACTTCTGTGTTTTGAGAGGCAGTCTTTTTTTTTTTTTTTTTTTGGAAACCTATTGTCAACTTTTGATCTCATTTGAAAAACTGTCTTCACTGTAAGCAGCATTTACCTTCTTTAAATGACTCTTCACTTGCCTTTCAGGTTTGTTCTTTACTTGCTAAGCTTTCTCAGACTCCTTTTCTGGTTTCTCCTTATCCCTGTACATATAATGTACAGTCCCTGGGGGTGAGTGGAGAAAAGGAAGATTTATTGAGTGGTTTGATTTTTCTGGAGCATAAATTGTGGTATGTGACACTAAAAAGATAGGCAAGGTACTTATCTTGGGAAATATAGCAGAAAAGTTCTCAGAGAAATGTCAAACAGAAGAGGCAGTAACAGATACTTTTGTGTTTTAGAGAAGTCATTTTATATTGAATGTGTGTAATAATCTACTGTGAGTTATTTTAGTTAGATGGCCAATTTGAGCCAAAAACTTATAATAAGAATATTTTCAGCTCGCTTTGGTGATATTCATGCAAATATTCCTAAAAATAAAAAGCTGTGTATAATAAAACAGTTGATCTAACATTCAAAACAGATGTAGCCAAATGGTTCCTTAGCACACAAATCTGTGCATTTATTCTAAGATAATGTTCTAGAAACATTTTTTGGAATGTGGGGAATATTACCTCATTGACCAGTGTCAGTGACAAATACTATATCTGTACTTTACTTGTTTATTAACTTTAAACAGTAACATATGTCTTCTTTGCCTGACTTAGCACCAAATGACTTTATTGTTTAAAAAGTTCATAAATGAGGGCCCTCCCTGGTGGTGCAAGGGGTTAAGCATGGCACTTTGAAGCTGTCTGCAGCCACTGTAGCAGCAGTTTAATCCCCAGCCAGGGAGGTGACTCACATGGCGCAGCAGACCTCTCCTGTCTCACCCGCTGCTCCCATCAGCAGTGTATTTCAGTCAGTCTGCCTGTTCTGTTCTCCACTCTGTCTCTGGTGAATCCTCTCATCACCCATACCTCTAGCCTGTACCCCAGTTCTTGTATGCATAAATAAATCTTTTAAAAAAAGTTCATAAATGAGTAAATTAATAAACTATCTTCAAAAAACTGTAAAACTACATTAAAAAGTCAACATTTTGAGGACAGTTTCAAAATTGAAATTTCTAAATCATTAAACAATGATAGCTTTAGTTTAATAAGTGATTATAATTTTCCAAGCAATTTCTTTGAAAAGAACAACAACACTCCTTGTTTTTATGCTTTCTTGGTTATGCTAAAAAATTGTAAGATTGATTATTTTATAGTTTACATCTTGAGACTCTAGATTTGTACCTATAGCCCTGTAGTAGTTTTTAAATTATTCCATTCTTTTGGAATAAACAGATAAATTGTATTTTATAGGTGGTTATGGAGCTACAGCTTTAAATATGAAACGGGATCCTTTACATATTAAAACCAAAGGAGAAGAGTTTCCCCTGACTCTGGGCCGGGATGTGTCTGGTGTTGTGATGGAATGTGGACTTGATGTGAAGTACTTCAAGCCCGGAGATGAGGTAAGTTGTGAATGCTGCTGTTCTTTTTCTAAATGTGCAAATTGCATTCTGCTTCTTTTGAAAATATATTCTACATATTTTTCTTCCTTTTTTTAAAAGATTTATTTATGCAAACAAGAGCTGGGGTGCAGGCCAGAGGTATGGGGAGGGTGAGAAGATTCACCAGAGACAGAGCAGGGAGCAGAACAGGCAGATTGAAATACACTGTTGAGGAGAGCAATGGGCGAGACAGGAGAGGTCTGCTGTGCCATGTGGATTAGCTCCCTGGCTGGGCTTGAGCTCTTGCTGCAGTGATTGTGGATTGCTTCATAGTGCTGAGACTTAACCCCTTGCGTCACCAGGGAGGCCTTCGTTTTTTCTTCTTTCAAACAAATATATAGACTTTGGCTAGAAACCTCATTCCCATAGTTTTATTTCATAAACTATTCCAAAATAACTTGCTCATACTTGAGTTCTGTAAATCTTATGCTTAAGAATTGCAAGACTTTGAAATATGTGGATTTGGGGCTTGCTTTCTTTGTTGGATGAGTCTTTGACATTTACTACCTTATGGGTTAGGTAGTTTTAAAATAGCTAAGGTTTGGTATAATCACCTGTCCCTTGTCACTTTGAACTTCCATACCAAGAAGTTAAATT